AGAGTAAAGGGGAAAAAAAGAAGAAATAAAAAAATAAAAATGGAGAGAAAGGAGAGACAAAACAAAGAAAGAACGAAAGAAAAGAAAGAGGAGAAGGAAAGAAAGAAGAGAAGGCACGAAGAAGGGAAGAAAGGAGCAGTGAAAGAAAGGAAAGGAAAACGAAAAAAAAAGAAAACGAGAAAAGGAGAGAGAATGAAACAAAAAAAGAGAGAAAAGAGTACGAAGGAAATAAAAAGAAAAAAGAAAAGAAAGATAATGAGAACAAGACAGAGGAAAAGAGAAAAAAAAACAAGGAAAGACAAAAAACGAGCAGGGGAGAAAAAAAAGAACATCAGCAACAAAAGAACAGAACAAAAAGAAAAAAATAAAGAATAAGAAAGAATATGAAATAAAAAGAGAGAATAGAAAAAGAGGGATAAAAGGGATAAAGAATGAGAAAAGAAAGTAAGAAAAGAGGAGAAAAAAGAGAAAAGAAACGGAAGGAAAGCCAGAAAGACAAAAATGGAAAGTCATACAGAAGTGAATAAATAAGGAAAAAATGTTGGGAAAGAAAAGAAAAAAAAAAGGGAAAGGAGAACAAGGGACAGAAAGGAGGAGAAAACCCATTCCTCGGGTCCCTTGCCTAGGTCCCTGCATAAGTTGGCCCGTTCGCTCTTTTTCCTTGGGGTTTATTTGGAGGCCGGAGGCCGCGGTGCAGGGCGACGGAGCCGGGGCTCAGCCCCCGCCACGCGCGCTCAGGACCAGACGGGGCGGCCGGCGCGGGCACTGTGCGCAAACGGGGGGAGCCCGGCGGGGGGGGCGGGGGAAGGGGGGGGGGGGGCCGGGGCGGAGCCGAGCCGGGAGGGCGGCTCGAGGCCCCTGGGCGGTGAGCAGGGATTTCCCAGCGCGCAGGAGCGAGAGGAAAAACAGCCCGCCGTAAATGTGCGATACAGTTAGAGCGCTATGTGTATAGATACGTACCTACATATGTGTATGCATATATGTACGCACACGTAAATACACTCAGAACAATATATAGAGGTATTTATGCACGCACATATAAAAATACACACACGCACGTCTGCATATATATATTTTTATATACATATGTA